TTTATTGTTTAGTTTACAGTACATTAGGTACTTATATGTAAATGTTTCATATATGCCTGTTTGGTATTTGTTGTTATTGAAATATATTATTATTATAATATGGCCTTCTTTATGATATCAGTAATCGTCACAGTATTTCGGCAAGGAAGCCTTCGTTCGCTGGCCGAGTAAAATGTGATATTAGTTAAGAGTATTACTATACTAAGTCTGTTTCAATCTTACCTGATTTGACATCATTTATAGCAAACGATATTATGATAAGCGATGCCGTATATAGCCATGACAGGCTTCCTTTCCTCATCGCGTCTGTTATCGGCTGATTAGAAAACACTTGCTTTCAGTTCGATACTTTAATAGGTCTTCTGAATTTTCAGTACTTTAGCGAAGACTCTCGTTTCATCGAATATACAAGTTCACAGTGAGCGTAGGCGAGCTGTTATTACGAATCATGAATATCAAATAATAAAGACGTTTCCCTTTCACTGTCAGCGGTATGAGACAGGAATGCTGCATTTATAAGTCACTTTAGTACACAAAGGAAGCAACGTGAAAATATAATGAGGCGTTCAAACTAAAAAGACCAAACTACTTCCGCGAATATCCTCTTACACTATAAAGTCCCAATATTAACTAATAATATTTTGAATTTTATCCTTTTTTCCACTCTTTCGCCTTCCCACGCTTGATATATGTGACATGACCGAATTATGTGAGGACGTGACGGGCTGGCCCGGCTGCAGAGGAGGCTTGAACCGCCCTACTTGAAAAGGTGTTTAACATTTCGAAACCCCATACGTTGACTGACGTTGACGGTCATTCGTAAAGATAAAAAACATACTTCATGTATGCTTATCATATTGTGCCATGGCTTGGAAAGTACAGAAATTGTTTTCAGCCAAAAATATATTAGTAAACAAAACTAGAAAGTCTTTAAAATACAAAATTTTTCAGAATGCAACAAAAAACTTTGAACTCGGGGAACGGCTACACCTCGTGCCTATCGTATTCTCCTAACATTCTCTTCAGTGCCAATGATCACACCATAAACGCACGCGACTCGTTCTCTATAGCCGTTCTAAATCAATTATATTGCTAAAGAACGAATCATAAACACCGATCACACTTGTCCAGAAAAACAATCATAAAACGTGCTCACTTGCGTAGGTACTTCAATACTTGGGGGGTGGAAACGGAACTTACGACTTTAGATATTCCGTGTTCTGTTACTTTCGGATAGATGTTCGCAAATAATTTTTTACTGATTTTCTTTATTCTGAGTTTTGTGTATAACCAGGTTTTCTAACAAAACAGCAATATTCCGTCTGCCCTCATTCATCAGAGCACGGACAATCTAGAAGACATATATGTCTTCAGGATTGTCTATGATCAGAGCAATTGTCTGTACCACAGCGCCCGTACGAGGCGGCATCGAATACACTCAAAGAGCGGCTGCGAGGGACTGCATTGAATAGCGCCGAAATGTAAACAATCGACAATATTCCATATAGTATATGCTTCAAAAATTTTTATTCAATATTTGGCTTACACTGAGCCCCTATTCCGCATTCCGATTTTTATCTTTAATTTAATCAAATTGTTTCAGGACTAAACTAATAAAGTGAAAACATAGATGTCATAGATTGCAATCGTAGAACAATCCCACATCCTGTTGTATTTGGGAACTTAGGTTGATAATTAAAGCTGGTAAGTATTTTTTCAAGAAATGATAGAACAGAAAGCCAGGTTAGAATATTAGAGCTCACAGCTTTAATAGCAAAGACAACGCGGCGTTGACGAGGACGTGAAAATGGCGTGGCATGTGGGATTTTCACTTCCGGTCAATCTAGGATGTCGTCACGTTGTGTTCGGGAGTTAGGACGGCATTAGCAAACGATGTGGTTTGACGAATAGTAATGATATCGAAATTGTCGTTGTCGTTATTATACGTTATTATTTTTTAATATTAATATTTGATACTGCAGTGTGAATACTGACCAGAGGAGGCATCCACTTTACAAGCCTAGTGGTTTCTGGATGTCTCCTTCGCCATTAATATTTTCTACTAGAAGTTACTATCGCAAGGAAAATGCTGCCTCACCCCCAAGGGATGGCACCATGCGCAATTTGCTGAATAAGGGTCTGTTTATACGATCCCGCTTCTCCAGGACGAGATATGAGGCAGGATGATTTCGATGTATTGAAATGAGTCACAGTGCACAATTCAGCAAAAAACATTACTTTTCTAGAGATAGATTATAGTTACTGTAAACGAAAGGTTGTTCAAGCAGCAATTATAATCTTTTTGAACTACAAGATCTTGTCTACAATATTTGAGTTCTGTTAGCAAGCATTTGAACTTTTGTTTAGCCTAGTGACTTATTCCAATACATCAAAAATCATCCCAACTTCCATCATGTAAACAGGAAAAGTCGAAAGATCAGCTAAATGTATATGAATACATTCAATGCTTATAACTTCTTGCTTTTGTATGTATAATTATAACACTGTCAGCCTGTGAAGCTGACATAGCAACAGGTCACGCTATGCGAGCTTTTAATATAATGATTTGCATTATTCAAATAGATACAGGTTTATTGGTGTGGCATGACCAGTTGCCATGGTAGCTAGCTTCCCACTGAATACTGTACAAAATCATTCTACATATACAGGGTGTATCAAAAAAAGCGCAATCCTCGACTGAAATGTAAATTGCTAAACAAATAATAGACGAAAACGTTAAAGTTTACATTCATTTTAAAGCGTAGCCATTCAGCTATCTAACAGTGGGTTGTTTCTTAAATTTGACTCATTGGTTCGCGGGTAATAATACTTTACGTTATTGCGATTGGAGATTAAAAAAATCGAGATGGAATAACAAATCGTTCTCATGAAAATAACTGATTTTTTCATTAAAACAAAAAAATGTTGCATTTTATTAAATCGATTGTAACAATAAATAGAGATTACTTCACGGTTGATGAGCGCGTACGATTTTTATGCACGAGTTGCGAAAAATTCCGATAAACGAACGAGTGAGCGCAGCGAACGAGTGAGTTTATAGGAATTTTTCGCAACGAGTGCATAATAAAAATCGTACAAGCGAATCAACCATGAAGTAATTTGTTTATTATATGAGTTATTATATATTAGAGTGAAATTTAAGTGCTGAACGATAGACACAATTCAAACCAAACGTTTCAAACATATATAATATGCATCAAAAAGTACAACAATAGCTACAACAAATGAATTATTTCGCTTTAAAATTCTTGTATTATTATTCTGTTGTTCAATGAATTCGCTTACGGATGGTATCTCTGCGAAGCCATTTCAAATCAAAAGTTGAACGGACATCTAAAAAAACTGATTGTTGTTTTCTTGTACGCCAGTGGCGCGGCGGGAAAAGTAAATACGAAATTTTTCACTAGTGACAAATTCCGTACGTCCAATGAGAAGGCTAATACGACGTTCTTCACTAGTGGCGAATGTCGTATGTCCAATGAGATCCTCAGAAATTTTAGGCATATGGTTTTTATTCAATTATATTCAATTTATGGTATAAAATTCAATACTCATATAATAAATGGCCATATGGGTCACGTAGGTTAGGATTAGGGTTTGGATTAGGGAAATGATTAAGATTACGATTAGAGTTAGAGTTACGTTTAAAATACAAAAGAATACAAAATTTCAGGTTTTAGCACATGCCAATTACAAAAGTCTAAAAATAGTACTCCCCCAAAACGTCAGTCAAATTATGTACATAATAGTCAGTCAGTCAAATCTTATACGTGACAGGTATACGCCCGCCCACAAACGTCTATTACCACCTTAATTAATCAGTGATTACCACACCTACCTACTTTTTGCATTTTTAATTTTTTGCAATTCTAAAATTTTAAACAGCTTGATGGAAAAGACGGTACGGAGTTTGTCAAAAAATTGTTTATTTTGCCTAAAGATTTGAACGGTTTGTCAACAATACAATTTCGCTTGTCTCCGGTTGTTCGAAGGTCGGATATAGTATTAATAATAGTGATTTTTTCAACCTTTGTAAAATGTTTGAAACTACGGATATAGATAACACAAGAAGTATAAAAAACATTTAACTTATAAATACTAAACTTTCAATACGAGTTATACCAATCAACGACTGATTTAACAAAGGTTGAAAAAATCACTATCCAGTGGACAGGCAGGATAGCGCTATTCGGCCTTCGTAAAACCGGCCCCTGCTGTTTAGAAATCAATTTTGCATCTTTGAACGGCAAACTTTTACGCTGTTTTGGGAGTATTTTTTTTCCTTGTTGGGTGCATCATAAAACCAGAGATAAAGCGCAGCAAACAATCGGTCCTGAGAGTCCAAGATTAATTATAATTTTCCAGATAAGTTAATTTTAATTCAGTGCACGTGCAAGTGCAGCGAAGTTTTACTAGGCAATTAAGGAAACGTATTGATCCGAACAAACTAAGAAACTCGCAGACGACGCAGGTAGAAAATAAAGCGCATAGCTAGACACCGCAATAATTGTTGCTATTCGTGTGTGGCAAGTGATAATGAAACACATGCAGTCTTTAAAATCATGCTTTTAATACTCAGCAATTCTTTCCTACAGGCCACTGCAACAATATTTCGTTTCTCCGTACATGTAAGTCTTTGAAACTAATACAATTCTAAGGCCCTGTTTATATGAGAGACGGGACGTTTGCCGGGACGGGGACGATTTATACCTCCCGGGTCGCCTTAATATTGTTGTAAATTCATATATATATATATATATATATATATATTATATATTATATATTATATATATATATATTATATATTATATATATATATATTATATATTATATATTATATATATATATATATTATATATTATATATTATATATTATATATTATATATTATATATTATATATTATATATATATATATATATATATTATATATATATATATATATATATATATATATATATATATATATAGTTTTTCGTTTTACCTCAAAAAACCACAACAGTCTGTTTCATCCGTATAGGATAGATTGATGATTCCTATACGGATGAAACAGACTGTTGTGGTTTTTTGAGGTAAAACGAAAAACTATATTACGCTCTATCTATATGGCATTGAGCACTGTTTGTGTTTCGTAAACCAAAATCTTAAGCTATATATATATATATATATATATATATATATATA